GTCTCTGGACACACAGGGAGTCTCAGGGTTGGTCCTGCCCTGGAAGGGCCCCTTGTCTGGAGGGGTCAACAGACACATGAGCGACTGACTTTAGGTCAGGGGGTCCAGGCACCAAATCGAGACTTTGGCAGAGACCGGAGGGAAGAGAGGAGGGAGAGGTAAATTCTGCTGAGAATGGGGGAGTGGGGGCTTCATGGAGGAGGCCCCTGCAGAATGAGGCCTGGAAAGATGAGTGAGGGCTGAACGGCAGGGAGGGAGGCTGAGAAAGGGGCCCCTGTGAGTGGGGGTGGGGGCCGCAAGGAGGATGGAAGCAGGAGGGAGCAGCCAAGGAAAGGGGAAGTTGGCGTCAGGTGTTCTACAGCTGCAGAATCTGAGGAAGCTCTCAGAGGTGAGGCGTCCATGGAGACTGTTGAATCCAAGCTGTGGGGATTTCTTCTCTCTTCAGGTGGGAGTGGAGGCTGAGGGCTCCGGCCTAGGCTGGGGCCTGGATGGCGGTTCTGGCTCCAGGGACCTCATGGGCAGTGAGGAGCTGTTAAGAGTAAGTGTGAAGGGACACGGTCTGGCGCCTGGGACCAGGAGGGAGGAGCGCAGGGGCGGGCAGTAGGGACCTGGCCGGCCAAGCTGAGCGCTGTTGGCAGAGTCCATGGGGCTCCTTACTCTTTTCCTCTCCTACGTGTTTGACATTTTCCACTTTGATCAGGTTCGTATGGTTTGAAGTAAGTCTGGACCTGAGTTCATATTCAGAACCTGCTATTCACCCACCTCCCCTCCTTTCCCTGGCTGCCCTCTGCAGCAGGCTGCTCCCAGCAAGTTTGCACACTGACCTTCACCTCCACCATTGGCTTTTGATCTCCCTGCCCTCATCTCACTCTGTTTAAGAAACAGATCCTCTGGCCTCCTCCCTGTCTGGATGGCATTTCACACCTTGACTTCCAGACCTTTCTTGAAGTCTTCCCTGCCCTTTGGCACCCCCACCCCTGCCTTTAGCTCTCCAGACAGCCCTTTCTCCCTCCTTGGCGCCTGTGCTCCCTGGCCCCTGCCCAAGGCTGGGCTCCACCAGTCTCTCTTAAATGGCCCCCAGGGGAGCGCCTCCCTTCTCCAGCTGCAGCTGTTGCCTCCTCCCCAGCCCCAACCTCATCCCCAGTCCTTCCCCTGAGCCCTGGGCATGGACTCCCAGTTAGAAGCTGCACTCGGCTGGACCTCTGCCCACTCCTCAGGACCACGTGACCAGGGCTGAAGAGCTCTGGACTTAGTGGATGAGTCGAGTGGGAGTCGAACGGATCTTCCAGGGGCCTGCCAGGTGGTGGGACCAGCCAACCTGTAAGAGGCTAAGAGGTCCACTTCAGGAGTTTCAAGTAGCAGGCAGTGTAGACCTCCTGGTTAATAAGAACACTCAGTTAACCAGAGCTCCTCCGGGCGCTCCGGCTAATTAGATCTCTACTGTATGAAGCACTTGGGAGAAAATGAGATTCAGTGAGCTTGGAAGGCCCTAGATTCAAATCCCGATTCTTCTACAGATTAGCTGTGTGTGTGAGTCTCCTGGTCTCACTGACCTGGCTGTCCCCATCTGCTGTGGGGACACCAAGCCCTCCATGTAGGGTCATTCTTAGGAATGAAGGGAATGTGTGAACATATATGCTCAGCTCATATTTACCCTCCCTTCACCATTTCTAACAAAATTTCTTGTTTTCTAGGGTCCTCCAGGTCCCCCAGGTCCACCAGGCTTGCCGGGGATTCCAGGAAAACCAGGAACTGATGTTTTTAATGGACCCCCTGGCTCCCCTGGAAAGGATGGAGCTGCTGGTGAACCTGGGCCCCCCGTGAGTGTCTGAAGTTCTGTCCCTGTTTCTGTGGCCATGGGGCTTCCCTTCACCAGGGAAGGGTCGGCAGATTGCAGATGTCACATTGTCTGTGACTGGGGAGAGAGCAGCCAGCTAAGGTTTGCAAGCAAAATCCTCCACATCCAAGCCATTGCTGAGACTCCAGGGAAGTAGCCCCAGGAATATCATCTTATGGACCATTTTCCTGCTCTGTCATGGCCAGTGTAGGAGGACAGACAGCTGTGAGATCTTAAAACCACAGGACCCCAGAGCTGGGCCTGGGTGGGTGCCCTGGAGAACGTCCAGGTCCAGTCCTGCTCCTGACACCCCTGCAGAGGAAGAAATCTGAGAGTGACCCAGAGAGTGAAGGATGCTGGTCCAGGTGGCACAGCCAGCAGCAGCCCAGCTGGGACCAGGACTGGCACTCTTGCCGTGACCCTGGCATAAGGACCTGGACCCACTGGCCTCACCCACCTCCCCACCCTGCCCTCCTTCCCAGGAAGGTGACTGATTGTCATTGATGTTCTGCAGGGTCCTGAGGGACGGCCTGGACCTGATGGAGCCTCTGGTGTTCCTGGGATGAAAGGGGAGAAGGTAAGGGGGAGGGAGGGGTACATTCTAACACCAGGAGCCACCAGAGCCACACTCTCCGACCCCGAATTCTGACCTTGCCTCTTCTGTGACTGATTCTCTGAAATTGCCTGCTGGTCGCTTCTGCTTTATGTCCTCATCTTGGGACTCACTGTGCCCAACTCAGCATCTCCCCTGCCCCAGTTTCGGTGAACGATGTCACCATCTACCCAGGGACCTGGACTCAGACACAGAGTCTTCTCCAGCCCTCCTTTCCCTCCCTTCCCTGCCACCAAAGGTCAGTTGCCAAGACCAACCTTTCTCTGCACCCTGATCAGACATTCTTCTCTTCTCACCCATGCTGGGCCATTGGGCTCCACATGGGTGCCCCATTCTCTGCAGCCACAGTCCATCCTCCACCTAGTGCCCTATCCACCTCCACCTAGTGGGCCCTCATCAGTGACTTCCCCATTAACTGAGAGAAATCAGTGGCTCTCTTCTGCAGGGCAAAGTCCTGATACCCTTCCCCATCTATACCAGCTGCCCCTCTAGGTCATCACCCGCTACCCCCCTCACATGGCTTCTGGCAGGAAGTAGTATATATTGACCTTCCCCTCACTGTTTCTAGGAAAGTCCTTTCTCATCCTCCAAAGTCCAGTTCAGATATAACAGTCTGCCGTTATCCTAAGGAGATACGTTCTGAGACCCCCGTAGATTCCTGAAACTATGGATAGTACTAAACCCTGTACTTACTGTGGTCTTCCTGCATATCTATGATAAAGTTTAGTTTATAAATTAGGCACAGTAAGAAATTAACAACAATAAATAATATTAGAAAAACCACATATTATAATAAAATTGATATATCCCTACTCTTAACACTTTGCGTTTATTAAGTAAAACAAGGGTTACTTGAACACAAGCACTGAGATACCATGGCAGTGGATCTGATAACCAAGATGGCGACTAAGCAACTAACGGTGGGTCTCGTATTCAGTGTGGATGTGCTGGACAAGGGGGTGACTCAAGTTCTGGGCAGGGTAGAGCTGGACAGTGCAGGATTTCATCATGCTGCTCAGAACAGGGTGCGATTTCAAACTTGTGAATTGTTTATTTCTGGAATTTTCCAATTACTGTCTTCAGACTGTGGTTGACTGGATAACTGAAACTGCAGGTAGTGAAACTGGACAGGGGAGCGGCACCGAATATCCTTTGGGAAGCTCTCCCGGCCTGTTTATGAGCAGACACATCCCTCCTTCCCCACAATATCTATGCTGCAGGGACCCTTCTTGACCAATGACAATAAAGATGTCAGCTTCCTTGTTGGGCCCCCATGCCCACCCTGCCAGGGAGCCCATAGCACTATCCCTGTACCCTTCAAAATTAGCACAGACCCCTATGAGCACTTGACGAATGAATGAAACTTCCTTCAGACACCATTTTAATCTGCCATTCTGGGTCTTGAGCCTCCCTTCCATCCCTCCTTCTCTGTCCATACGCCTGTCCTGTCTGCTGTCTGGAAGCTTCATGCTAGTGTGGGGTGTGGGGAATGGATTCCTGCCAGACAGACTTCCCCGCCTGCTTGATGAGATAAGCCATGTCCAGCAAAGAGAGGCAATAAAGATAAGGAAGCTTATACAAGGGATGTGGCCCGTGGGGCTTTTTAGGGTTGAGAAGAGAGAGGGTCCCTCCCTCCTGGGGTGGAGGTGGGGGCCTCTATGCACCCCCTCCCTCATGAATGTGGAAATGTCAACGGCCTAGACACCAACGTCAGTGAACTAAATTTTCCATTTCCATCAGCTCTCAAGTAAGTTTATTTTAATTGAAGCGCTAACCCGATTTTCATGGAAAGCACATTTCTCAGAAAAAGAAGCAACTGTTGAGCTTTAGCAAACTATTTTACACGCACCAACTGTTTCATAAGAAATGAAATTTTGCAGGAGACACCACCAACCCACACTCATCTTGCCTGGTCTTTCCCCAGCAGCCTCCCCGACCCCCACTCTGTCCGGAACTTAGCCATACCCAGCCCACATCTGCACAGAGACACAGAGGGCAGCTTTGCAATGGGGAGACTCAACAGCACCCTGGAGGAGGGGCAGGGGCAGGCTTGCCCAGGATGATTGACAGTTGGAGATCAATCCCATATTTGTTTGTTGATTTGTTCCTGAAATTGGTTCTACATCCCGATTTTTTGCACTGTGTGTTTATGATGCTTTCTGAAGGAACACAGACAGACTGAATGTAAAAGAGCAAAAATGGGCTGAAGGAAATGAGCCATCTCAGGGATGTTAAGGAATGTACCAAACAATGACACATTTGATCCTTGGCTCCTCACCAGAATGTCTGCTCTTCAGCTTGCACACCTCACTCCCTGCCCCAGCTCCTATCACACAGTTGGATGGATCCACTTGTAGGAAAGACTCTCCTCAGCCACCGTGTCATTAGCAGGCCACAGAGACCAGTCTAGGTAGTCACCCAAAGTGGAGTTCCCCGCCAAAGAATAAGGTTCAGTTTATTTAGCTGGGAATTTTAAAAATATACAGTCATTGATATCAGATATGGATGTTGTCATCCAAGTGTGGATGGTTGTTAAGAATGTATTAAATAGTGCTCAATTCAGCAGCACGTATATCAAAAACTAGAGCCATTCAGAGATTAACATGGCCCTGCGCTAGGGTGACATGCAGATTTGGCAAGTGCTTCATATTTTTAATTTATGATACTCAGGATATGTGAAGATTATCATTTTATGTTACTTTAATGAAATGATATTTAAAATGAAAAAATAGATATTCAGGGCCAACTCATGTATATTATAAATATTTTCTAAATTCTCCTACCAGGTATTTTTCATGAAATATTAATGTATTCGAATCTATTTTTAAATATTCCAATGAGGAAAATGTCACAGAAGTTTATATTACACACATAGGCGCAAAGAATGTATCAAATGTTCTATGATAGAATTGAATGTCATTGAATAATTCAATGATACAGTATTTCTTAACATGTTTTCCCCCAATTAAGATGAGGAGCTAAGTCTAAGATCTGTAGCTCAAGAAGGGGTGGGAGGGAGTGACCTGCTTCCTCAGCCGCAGAATGCTCTGGAAAGGGTGCCACAGAACTTGCTGGAGATCGTGGCCCTCTGAAAACCACCTCTCTGCTTTGTACATGGCTGATTCTGCCCTCCAGCTCTTCTAGGATTCACGGTGGTCAATTTTTGCTTCTTTCAGAATCCTTGTCATTCAGATTATTCTTCAGTCTCAGAAGGTACTAGGAAGTTGGGCAGGAAAGAGTCAAGGCTCTGAAGTATTCTTGGGTACCCAGAATTGCTGAGGAACCTTGAGCTCCAAGAATTGACATTGAGTAATTTCACTGGGCCCAAAATCACATTGTACAATCAGCTTCTGTCTTTTCTGTAGATGTCAGGGAAGTGCAATTAAATCTTTACCACCTTCTCTAAGGCTCTGGGTTTGATCTCCACCAGTACTGGGGGAAAAAAAAAAGAATGAAAAGAAAAGAAGGAGGGAGGGATCTGAGCAGGGAGCCTAGGATCCGGTAATGAGTTTAGAGCTTGTAACAACAAGTTTAAATGTTAAATGAAACATCCCAGCGTTTGCCTGGTTTCCTGCTTTCTATCTTATTTCGTCATCAGATGTGTTTGGCACATCATCTGAATGATAACAGGCCTCCATAAAACCAAACAGACCACAGGCAACAGCAGTGGACGCACAGTGCAGTGGTCAGCATTGCAAACACCATGAGCAGATCCAGCAGACGCCCACAGGGCATCCCAGATACCATCATAGAGGAAGAGATCCTCGGATCTGTTGGGTTCTTTGAAGTTCCCGTAGGCTGAGGTCTAGCGGTGTCTTTCCCCCTCCAGTTCATCCCGATGAGACAGACTTTCTGATCTGATGGTTTTACAGCGTTGCCATTCTCGAGCCGATCTCTCCACCTTTCATCCCTCCCAAACACATTTGCGGCTCTGCTAGTTGGAATTCTGGGACAGTGTGTGTCCTCACCACACAAAAACACTCTCACTAAGGAGTGAAGTAAACCTCCACCATCTCCACTTTGGAAGTATGGAGTCTTTCCTGAGCCTTTTCGTCAAAGCTCCCACTTTCCACCCTACCTGTTCACAAAAATTCCAATAAGTGGATTCTTCTATCCCCTTCCATCTCATGTTCGTCCTCGTATCTTTGAGCCAGTAGAATGGATCCAAGTGCTGTCTCTTCACCTGGTACAAGCGGAATAAGATCATTTCTGAGGCAGATAGCAGGGGCTAATATGTCTTCAAGAACTTTATTTGAAATTGCTATAAGATGCATTCTTGACTTGAAAGAAATAGGAAAAGCAATTGAAAAGACAGTTCTTCACTTGTGAACATGATTTTGAGCCGGGTCAACTGGCAGCACAGCTGTAAGGTGTTCAGAGATGGAGCCACTTGAGCCTCCGTTTCACAGTAGCCCTGGTGGCAGTTTGATTTGTTGCTGGGAAAATGCACAATGTCTGCACTCCGCTCAAGATCAGATGGTAGTAGGCAGTAGGCGATGGCCCTGCTGGTTGCACCCAAGAGAAGCAGACAGAGAAACCATAGCCTCTAGATTGGGCAGCAAAATAGGAACTCAATTATTTGAGTCATGTTTCCACCCGAGATGGAAGGTCATGTTCAGTTTCTCCCTGGCAGGGCTGGCCAAAGGGAGGTGACAGGTCTCAGCTACAGCTCTTCCTTCCCCCAGCCTTCCTCCTCCCACCTCTCCAGATAGCCAGGATGTCCCCCCTGGCCTCTGGGTCAAGGAGGCATCCAAGGTGCACCTAAAGAGTGCAGCAACTGAGGGTCACTCTCCTGTCACTCTTCCTGCCCTGGGAAGAACACAGGGAGACCGTGTTGGTTGTCCATGTATGCATGTCTTTCTGCAGAACGTAACCATGGCCTCACCTCTGTCATGAACCCCCAGAACTTCGTTTAGGCTTATCCTCAATGACAGTCCCAAAATGTCACAGCTACAAAGAACCTGAAAATTATTTAGCTCCCTGGTTTCCTAACTTCATCCTGGCAAAGTCACGGACATTGTGGAAGTGCTGTGCGGCTGTGAGGTGGAGGACAGAGCCATCCCACCTCAGGTGGTCTTTTAAATTAATTTTTAATTATACGAGAAGTTTGAGAACGCATCCTATGTTTCCCCCTTGATCATTCTTGGTGGAGGGTACTCTCTGCTCATATTTTCAGAGAGGGTCAGTTATCATCCCCAAATCTCTCAAAGTCTAGGGGCTGCATGTCAAGTTCTCGAAGCTCTCCCTTGGTTTAGAGTAGGGGAAGTACCCCTTTACCTCTCTCATGGAAGGGGTGGGGAAGGACACTGTCTCGAATGCCAAGGACCCATTCTGTGATCTCTCCTGACTTCTGGTTTATTCTCAAGGCAGGGGATGAGCTAACGGGTGAAGAATGGGGTTCACAAGCTTTGGACAGGACTGACCTAGCAGACTGCCGTCTTAGGCCATATGCTTGTCTTAGAAACACCAGCCAAACCAAGACAGAAGGGGTCCCCTTGCAGTGTCCTGTTACTGATGGGGACACAATTCTGCCCTTTCTTCTGAACATACCTAATTAAATATATCCTCATGGACGTTTGTGTTTTTCAGGGTGCAAGAGGGCCTAACGGCTCTGTTGGTGAGAAGGTAAGAGAAAGCAAGTGTCTCTTCCCACTTCCCCTTTCCTGGGGTTTGCTATTGTTGGGGTTTGGGCTGGAGCATCCAATGCAGAAATGTCACGAAGCACAGAAAAGCACACCTCAAGGAGCTGCTCAGGGAGGGCTGGTGGGGAGCTGTTTCCTCCCCCCACACACACACCTTACAAACTCATTCCTGTGGGCCCATCCGCTTCTCTCCAAGTGAAATGTCAATTAGCAAGAGAGCTGTTCCTGTGCTATTGAGCACAGATCAGAGAACACATCTGCCTAGTTGACTTCAGAGGGTGGTTTTCTGACTCAGATGTTCAAGTCCTTCCATGAGGGAATCCGGGGGCCTGTCATCAGCCTGTCCTCTTCCTTACAGGGTGACCCCGGCAGCAGAGGCTTACCAGGACCACCTGGGAAAAATGGACAAGTGGGCACCCCTGGAGTCAGGGGACCTCCAGGGCCTCCTGGCCCTCCTGGACCCCCAGGGCCTGGATGTACAACAGAACTTGGATTTGAGGTACTTTTCCCCCCTTTCTGTGGTTAAAGAATCATGTGCATTAGGGCCCACTGGAAGGACCAGCCCCCTGAATGCTAGTCCAGTTTGCCTCTGAGTTACCAGCACCCCAAACCACACTGGCATAAGAGGGTGCTCCAGAATCAGATCTGAAAATCTCATTCTTCCTCCTTCCCTAGGATACCGAAGGCTCAGGAAGTATCAGGCTGTTGAGTGAACCCAGAATCTCCGGGCCAACTGCTTCAAGTGTAGGTTGACTTTTGAAACCTTCTTATGAGGACAGTCTTGCTGTGGCACTGGAGTGTGGAGGCTCGATAATTCACCTGCCCTGTGCCTTCAGCCCCCACCTGTGCAGTGGGGAGGCTTTGCATCTTGGAAGGTGCAAACAGTTTCTCCAGCGAGAAACAGTTTTGCACAAACTATCATTTGTGAAAATTTGAAAATTGTCTTTGTCTCTTCATCTCTCCCCAACCCCCTGCCTCCCTCCCGCTACCCTACGGAAGCTTCACAGTTTGGCCCATTTCAAAACCCTGCCCTCCTGATAGGCAGCCTCTCTGCTCTGTCCATCCCTGGGAGGCACTGTCCATGTCCACTGGGATGCTCTCCCCTGGATTTCATTGGCTTTGTCCCGTGGGACCCTGAACTGAGCACCCAGGAGGGAACAGCATGGCCCTTCCTGTAGCTGAACATGCAGACTTCCCCCGTCCCCCAGATGCAGGGGGCTCTAAGACTGGAGTCGAAGGGACACTCAACTGGTGCCAAGAGCAGGCCTCTGAGTCTTCTTCTCTGAGGAATTTTTTTTCTCGCTCTGGAAGGGGCATCTGTCCCTCATCCCTTGTTCCCATTGCCTGGAGTGAAACCAGTGGGAGAGCTGAGGGTAGACAGCAAGAGTGAGGACAGGGGAGCAGGCAAAGCGAATCCAAGAAAACCAAAGAATGGGGCTGGGGTTGTGGCTCAGCGGTAGAGCGCTCGCCTGGCACGTGCAAGGCTCTGGGTTCCATCCTCAGCACCACATAAAAACAAATAAAGGAAAGGTATTGTGTCCATCTACAGCTAAAAAATAAATGTTTTAAAAAAAAGAAAACCAAAAAATGTTCATTTATCTGCCTGTTTATTTTCTCAGGGTCCCAAAGGAGAAAAAGGAGACCAGGGACCCAAGGTAAGGTCACAGATCTGTGGTGGAAGGACTTCCCAGCCTGGTTCTAGAAGCGTTATCCATGCACAATGAATTATCCCCCCACTTCTCTCCACTGTAACCAGGGTGAAAGAGGGATGGATGGAGCCAGCACTGTGGGACCCCCTGGGCCCCGGGGACCACCTGGGCGCATTGAGATCCTGTCGAGTGTGAGTATCATCCAGGGCAGAGCTTGGCTGTGTATTTTCTCCCTTTGTCTAAGGAGAGAGCAGGGTGGTCTACCACTGCAGGGTCTTGGGGTGCTGGGTATGCAGGGCACGGAGCCAGCACCTGGTGTGGGAGCCTTCACCTGCCAGCTTCCTCACCTGACTGGGCCTGCTC